TTGCCTTTTTTGTTTTCTAATCTTTTATTTCGCATTTTTCTTATATGCTCCTGAGGAAATGAGGGATTTGTTGTTTGAGACAAAGTTGGCCACTTTGGGGATGAGAGATGTTAGCGCAGAGAAGAAACCGTCTCCTTCGAATTTTTTTTGTTCGTGTTTTAAAATTAAAGACATTTTTATATTTTTTTAATGCGGTTATTTTATACTGTATTATTATAGTGATTCTTGTCTGTGGTTTGGGTAATTTATATGGAGTCTGTTATAATACAGTTTGGAGGAGTCTGTTATAATATATTTTTTAAAAGTTTGAGGAGTCTGTTATAATACATTTTTAGCAGTTTGAGGAGTCTGTTATAATACATTTTTAACAGTTTGGGGGAGTCTGTTATAATACATTTAAACAGTTGTGTCTTTTCGGATATGACGCATGAAAAAGCTGCGCATGCGCAGAAGTGAAATGCGTCATATCCGAAAAGACATATACTACTTACGTCAGATCGACCAAATCTAGCGATTGATTAGATTGTTCCAGTTGCCGGATGTCGCTGAAAAAACGGTTGCTCTCAGATTCTTGTGCTTGCAAGTTCGACCCGAATACTAAAGAAGACAAATACAAATATTGTATAAAATCCCATTGTTTTATTCGTTATATTTTATAATATTGCACATAAAAACAAAAACATTTAGGCGGATACAAAATTAAAACAGAAACTGCACAAGAAATACTCTACTGGTTGTTGAATTGTGGTATTACGGGTGGTAAAGTGAATATCAGAAAAATGTGGTCATAAAAATAGATTTAGATGTCGTAACACTGTAGTGACAAGTAACACTGACAATAAATCTAAAGTGCACATTTTCTCACAAAACCATCAAATAACAAATCAAACAAATAGTATACATTTTTTTTAAAAATTCTGTTGTAAACCCTTAGTTCTTGCATACTCTGGTGTATTTTTAATATTAAGGTTAAATAAAGTTAAATGGGTCAAAACCTCAACCAAATTCCATGAATTATTAGTGCATCCAATGCCTACCTTGTAAGGTTTTTTTTCTAATTTTTTTTTAATTATTCACAGAACATCTCAGGTTCCTTTTGGTGTTTTCCAGTGCAACAAGTGAATTGGGAACCAAATCTTATCCAATCAATTTCAGGTATTGTTCAAGATTTTTAATACCTTTATTCATAATTGGAGAATAACTTTCCCACAATCCCTTATTTTATCAAGAAATGGGTTTTACATTACATGCTTTGATTTGTTAAAAATACTAATGTTATTATTATTTTTTCACATTCTTTCATACACTTGCCCAAAAACAATCAGTAAACAAACAAATACAGTTAACACACAGATACATAACATATAAAATAATATAAAACATTGACACATACATTTTTTTTATAGTATTAAAGGAACTGTCCCGGATACGTTAAAAAAAAAAAAAAAAATTGGCCACACCACCAATTTAGCTGTTAACGTTCAAAACTTTGGATCATTCCCAAAGACATTTGCCCATCATTAACTGAATAACTTTAATTACTATTTTGGGTAAAAAATAAAAACAAGAAAGGATATTTTTTGGAATGGTTGTTTTTCTGATACAGTTCCTTTAAGAGATTTTCTTTATTATAAATATCAACTATAGTTTTATATCAAACCATATAAATAAGACTGTTTAGAATATTTTTGATTCTTCAGCACACTAAATGTAAATGTAAATGTTAGGTAAGTACACTGTGGATATATAAGGAATAAATTATGGAATGATATTATAGTATATGAGGTAAGGCCACTATGAGACAGAAAAGTATAAAATATAAACATGATACAATGATAGGACTACCACATGGTACTGTATGTATAGTAGTTTCTACAATTGGTGGTTCAAATTCTTCTGGACATTGAAAACCACTCCTCTGTAAAATAATAATAATAATAATATAATTAGAATTTCAAAAAAAAAAAAAACATGCTTTTGTGGAAAGAAAAGACTAAAAGGTGGCTTTATAGGTGGATATGACCATAGGTACCGTTGTAATGTTTGACTTGCGATACAACATGCCACAATACGCATGTCATATTGAAAATTTTGGTAATCATTTAAAAGAAGATGAAAATTAACCCACTCCCATCAACTACATTATCCAATATCACAGTTACAAAATTATTAATTGATAAATATTGAAACTTAGAACATGAAAGAAAAAATTTAATCCCACTGCTCCATCTAGAGATACACATTGTATTGTGATCCTTGTAATGCAATACATATTGTATCATGACCCTTGTATCACAATACATATTGTATTGTGACCCATGTATCGCAATACATATCGTTACTCTTGTATCGCAATACATATTGTATCTTACCTTATTGGCAATACCCAGCATTGTTAAGGGATCTCTTACTACTAACTGCCACTAACAAAGCTGGCGATTAAAAAGTACTTAATGCCACATGACGACAAGACATCCATCTCAAAGGTTTGTTTTAATGCCATTATATGGTATATAAGATCAAATTCATACTTACATCACAAACTTCATGACAGGATGGACAAATAATAGAACCTTGATGAAGGTAACTTCTAGTTATAAATGATGGTTTAATACGTTGACCAGATTTATAACATCTATATGGTTTATTATCAACTATCACTGTTAAACCTAATTCTGATGAACACACATACTATAATAATAAAATACTAGTATGTACTATATATTTCTTTTAACAAAAGGAAACGTGATCGAAATAAATAATATTAGATATGAGAGGACAGTAGCAATATAACTTTAAATATGAGGTAGTTATGTAGTAAACCTACTTTTCTACAAAGTTTGGACCAAATGTAGCGGTAGAAAAAAATTGTGAAAATACACTCAATGTGTTTCGTGAGCCAAAAAAGAGTTAGCCAAAGAGAGAGTTATGTCCCTTAGTTACATTTCTGAAAAGAAAATTAGGCCTGTATCTGAATTTGTCTTGTCACGAATGTTTTTAATACTGAGATATGATTATCAAAGGAATAGTACTGACACACACTATAATAAATAAACAATAGCCAAAGCCCAAAAACTAATACAATAAATGAGTCTATTTTTTTATGAGTGATCACAGAGTTAGGATCCATGAACTCTCTTTTGAGCTCGTTCAAGACAGAAATAACCCATGTAATTTATAATGAACTGACCCTATAACATCCACTACCACTATGTTGTGGACTATTAACTCCACCACAATGATGTAAGTACCATTTGCCACCATGATTTAAACATAATGAATTATTCCCATATTCTTCACCAAAATAATTGGTATCACGCTCTGAAATTTTAACAATGTTTATTTTAATCTGAGTTTTCAGTGAAAACTTATCATAATGACAATAATCATAATTATGAGTATAAAAATCATGAAATGAAGACCACTGTACTCACCTATACCATTACTATGAACTAAACAACTAGAGCCACGTAAAATTTCATCCTTATTAGTCCAGGAAAACTCCTGCAAAACAAAATAAAACATCTCAAACAAGTGGTAGAAATATATAGGAGTAATGTAGTATTGCAGTTTTCCAATCAAATATATGAAAGAATAATACTGTTTCATATCAATAAACCAAATAAATCAGAGAATATGATCAGTATCAGTATACCTGTAAATATGGACAGTAATCAGCTAACGAGACTGAGCCTCCAAATCTTCCTACTTCACTATCAGCTACACCTTCTATTCCATTGAAATACTGGAAAACAACATCAAATATCAAAAAATAAGTAGGCCTTTATGCTGATATACCAGGTATATTTTCAAATATCTATATTATAATTCAAACGCAGAGTTCATTTTGAACATGAAAATATAGCTTGCCAGGCAAGGTAACATACACCCACAGATAGCTTTGATTGTAAGTATTATGAAATTCGATATATTTACCATCTTCATAATGACAAAATCAAAAGAATCTAAGAATGTAAAGAATTGTAGCTTGTAGAGTGAGCACAAGTTGCACAATATAGCTAATAGAGTAAAATTTCAAGTCAGACAGGATATTTTGGTGAAAAATTATCCGATCATCACAAAAATCGATAGGGATCATCTTCATAATGACATTGACACACCAAATCAAAATCAAAAGAATCTGTAAAAAAGTGTAGCTTGTAGAGTGAGCACGAATTGCACGATATAGCCAATAGAGTAAAACGTCAAGTCAGACAGGATATTTCCGTGAAAAGTTATCCGATCATCACGAAAATCAATAGGGATCATCTTCATAACAACATTGACATACAAAATAAAAATCAAAAGAATCCATAAAGAACTGTAGCCTGTAGAGTGAGCACGAGCCAAATGTGAACGGACAGACCGACGGACGGACCGACAGGGTGATTACAATATACGCCCATCTTACGTGTGGGCGTATAAAAATTAGAAAATTTTACTAAATATAGCATTAAAGGGATGTCGTCCGGAAAAGACAAAAAGCACCAGACTAAATTAAATCCATTGCTATGGAAATTGTTCAGTGACCAAAAATTCAAAATAAAAGCAGGATTTAATTGATCGGAATTAAGTAAGATCTAATATTTGATCAAAATCACTGATAGTCATACCTGAAATTTACGAGGTAATGATTGTTTATATTCCACTAGATTACATAATGCTACAGAATGACGATTATCTGTACAATCTGTCCATAGTTCATTGGTTTTAACTTTCTTACAGTAAGGATAAATATCTTCATTCCTACAAAAATAAATTACATATAAAATATAGGGTAGAGGCATACTACCTTATCAAGCAAAAATATATTTCAAATTGACATATTTCTTAATCTAAAATGAACATAAATCTCATACATCAGCAAATCATACGACAATATTTCATTGAATTTTTGTTGTCTTTTTATTAATTTTTGACTAACATTTCAGATAGGTACCTGGAAATACCAAATTCAACAGTTGAATTAGACTATGGTGAAAATGATGGCAGAAATACATCCCATCTTTCAGAACAGCCATCAAAATTTTGACTTGAACACCTGAAATATCACTGTGCATGACTGTCATCATCTACCAGGTTTTATCATCATATTTGTGTTTTAATGATGTCATAATATCAGAAATAATCATTGTGAAAATGCTAATAATGCACAGAAGTGAAGTTAGTCTGAGCTTCCATGGTATTGCTCAAATGAATTGTAGATATATTGGTTTTAATTCAGAATTTTGTAAAGGGATACAGATAGCTGAAATCGACCTCCATCAAAACAAATAGGGGTTCTCTTCCAAGCATCTTGATCGATAAATAAACCTATAAAATAAAATTATTAATGTACCTAGCTTCTCTTGTTACCATCCAGTGATAACAGCTCTGTTTAACAAAATCACAGCCTAAACCTTTACCCCATTCATAGTGACCAGCTTGAGAATAATTAGCTTTAAACCAACTGAAATAAAGTTCAATTGTTGCTTAATTAATCTTTTAATGAGTAAAACATGTTCCACTCTGTGTGTGTCTGTATCTGACTAGATAAACTTTGTCAAAATCATTTTAATACTGTTCCAGGTTTCAATATTGTCACTTAAACAATTGAGATGAGACATCGGATTCTAAATACCCAAATCAAGTACACATATCAAGATCTCTGTCAAAAAGATCTAAGGCGCTGGTCAGGATCTCAAACAGCATCTTCTGTAAAGCTACATGTGAATATTACAACACACTGATTCTTGGCATGTGAATGAAGGAAGGGCCCAAAATATCTTGGCTAGAATCATACCATGGGGATGATGGGCAAACAACTTTTTTTCAGAATTCTGTTAAATTCTTACGTAATTATGAAATGAACAATTTTGGTTGATATAAAAAAGACCTACCCTGTATCTTCCATGGCAGCTAAAGTAATTCTTGATATCACAGAACTTTGTGTATAAGTACCAGTCATAGCTTCATTCTGAAGAAAATGAGGCGTTGTACTAAAGTATCAAAGAAAATTCCTGCCAGAGAAGAACATGAAGCTGCAACTAAACCAGTATTTCAAGATATCAGGACTTCATTGTTATATATGAGCCGGCATTGAAACTCAAGATTGAGAGTCCACATTATTTCTAATCTATCACTCAGAAAAAACAGAAACGTTTCTCTCTCTTTCGGAGAGTTCACATTTCAAGTAGCAACTATTTGGTATATGTGTTATATAGGCTAATAAAATTTTATTGTTAATCCTTAGGAGCTTATATAAACTAAACTTCCTTTGGTAATCTAATCCCATTAATGCTTAAAATATTCGTTGATTAACACCTTTGCTTTCTCAATTAATTTCAGCTGCAGTATAAAAATCTGACGTCTGGTGGATCTCTTATTTCAGAAAAATATTCAATGCTCCAGTAGTCATCTACTCACCTCAAAGACACGTTTTTCCCAATGAGTTATAGCTGTACCATCAATTCCTTGATCTTCTAATTCAGCACCTTCCAATGTAGAACAGTTAAAATGTCTTCTTACTTCTTCCTAAAAAATATAGATCAATTCAGTCATTCTTCAATCTTTACAAAACCTAGAAGTCACTCTACCTGCTACATGATAAATATGAAATAAGGTTGAGCAGTCAGATCAAACAGGTTCTTACTAAGTTTTGTCACATACAGTGGGGGCCAGACGGCAGAAATGAGGGTGACCAAGCTTTAGCAATCATAAATAAGCCAGCAGTTCTTGCTACGCCTGACAATAACCTCTTATGCATCAGGCGGATAAATCGGACTACTTTCAAATATTAGATCTTGCGACAATTTTCGTCTCCATTGTTGACATCTGACTAGTCTCTGTCTACGACGAGGATAGGGTCTTCAAGGGAGATAACTAACTTCTAACTATATTCTTTAACACAGATGTAACTAACTTCTGCCTAACAATTAAAGACGATTTTCTTCCAGCTGTATACAAAGTTATTGTCAGACAATGGCCGCGCCGCCGTAGATTCCACTGCAATCTTTGGCTCCATTTCTCTCAAATTCTTTATCATTATATTATACATTGGGAAAGAATTGTTTGTTACGCTCTCTTCTAAGTATCTTAAAATAATGGTTTTATTCCATAATATTCATATCACAAACATGATTTCCATGATAGAAATTCATGGCCTTCTCACATCCTGGACATGTTGTGTTTGGTGAGAAAATTCTTTTGAGCAACCACTACTTACCCTAACTTTAGGTGTAACAATCATTCTAACAGTTTTAGTTATTGTTCCTGATGGCAATCTCCAATCTGGTCGCCGTATTGTTTTGACTACATTCGCACTCCATTTGTACATTCGTAAACTTTAATTTCAAAAATAAAGTATTAGAAATAACATTATAAATACAATCATCTAAAATTCATCTAAACAATAACTCTATCCAGTCAGCAGGCAAATGTGAAATACAAAATATTCACCGACATTTTAATCAGTGATTTAATCAATGAAAGTTATCTGAAAAAATCCTTTACACATTAAAGGAATAGTAAGCTTTGAGAATTTGAGCTCACTGATGATTAAACAAAAGAATTTTGTAGGTTTTTGACATTGTTTATCTCTAATTTTATCTAAAAATGCATAGAAGCTGCCATTTTTCTATATGACATGACATAACAATAACAAAATGGCAACATTTCGAGAGTGGTAATAGAGAAGATAAACAATGATCCGACGTCTTTCATAATATCTTCTTGTTCAATTATAAAACCTTAAACATTAATTTTTTTCAAAGGGTTTTGCCAACAATTAACTTAGATTTCATAATAAAGCTGACTATATCTTTAATAACAAGTAATTAGTAATAATTTTGACTGGATATATCTACATACCTACTATCAAATTCAGGTTTATTAGATATCTCTTGTCTGGGTGTTAAAGGTTCACCATTCTCATTCCGATAAAAAGCAAACAGACTAGCCGTAAACCCCTACAAATTATATAAAATCAACTGGCTATGAATGACAAATTTCTTAACACATCATATCATCCCTTTCAAATCACACTTAGTCTCAACAAAACCTCATGAAATGGAGATAAACAGATTACAGACTGGTAATGCAGTGTGCAATGACGGAATTTTTCTTTTAAGATTTCCAAATATTGACATGCAGCTTGTCAAATGGAACCTGAGATAATTGTATCATCCAAATGCAAATAGATGTCAAATCTTTTTAAGCCTGTATAGCTGACAGGGGGAACCCATTGAAAAATGAAAAGGCCTCAGGAAAAATCAATATTGGGGAGATCATGAATTTTATATCATTAAATGGAACTGCACAGAAAACTGTTGAACTTAATGATAATTGGGTAGGTAAAAGGAAATCCTTGCAACAAGTAAATAATATAATATCTTTAAAAATTCAGAAGTTTTTTTTTGATACTTACCAATGCATGTAATATTTCATGTTTTAAAGTTGATAGTAATTGTAGTCTGTCTTGTTTATTAGTTGATATAGATTGAGGACATATACTAAAATAACCAGCAACAGGTCTAAAAATAACAAAACTTTACTTCTAAACAATATCTAACTTTCATTGGCAATGGGGTAAAATTTCTTATAACTTTTGATGAAACATTACTTTCCATTGATGAGCAAAGCTCCTGATCAAAAGTTTACATAAAACTAAGTAATTGTTGAAAAATGTTCAAAAAACTCTTTCAACTTTTTCACTTGTAGTTTTATAGGTAAGTACTTAGTGTTGGAGAGTTAACATTTTTTAAAGGGATTCTGTTGTAAAGTGATGACACCAGGTACAGTGTCCGGTGTGGTGTACAGTGAGAAATAATCCATACAAATAAAAATAGAAGTGAACACACAAGGTACAGGTCTGGACATGGTGAGGACAGGATTCACTTCTATTATTTTCTACTGTATCGACTATTCTACACCAGACACTGTATCTCATCTTTTCACACCTCAAGGTAAGGTATTCTTTAAACAAACTTTTTCTTTCTGAAAGTCCTTTATAGGGGATTTTCAATTATGCTTCTGATCATTCACAGCCCATGAGAGTTTGAGATCTTCAGCATAAAATGAACCCAAGACCAAACAATATACATTGTTTAAGGACCTACCTATCTAATGCCCGTTCTTGTTGACAATGACCAGCATATGCTACATTGTTTAAGGACCTACCTATCTAATGCCCGTTCTTGTTGACAATGACCAGCATATGCTACTGTACTTTGTAAACATCTATCTGATTTAATAGCTGCTACATATAATATAAAATCAGTATTAGATACACCTGTTTTAGAATTATAATCATTAAATTCTCTGTTATCATCACACCAGTTACATTCCTAAAATTAGCAAAGAAAAAGAATAAGAGTAATATAAAGCCAATAGGGGTACAAACAGATAAGAAGAATAAATATACAGTGACAACTGTCCAAATGTGGAAAATCTGTAGAAGCACCAAAGTTTAAGCCTCCCAATGAGGATTTGTAGGGAAAATTTAACAAAAATTAAATTGAATTGGTGTATTCTGTCAAATATATCTGGGAAAATGTCATTAAGTTACACTGCTCATAGCTTGATGCTCCTCCATTAAGCTTATTTCTTAGAAGTCGAGTGGGGTTTTAAATTATTTTATTGGCTGAACCTCCAATGGCACTGCCAATGTAACTGAAATGTAGTACTGTGGTAAATATCTTTTTTTTAAAAATGAATGATGCTGAATCAATCTTAATCTTCAATTTTTCAGAATAGTAATTGGAAATTGGAAAAGCTGTGTTTTTAAGGACTTCCTACCTCCAGATGTTCATTTGGTATTTCTATTTCACCACAAACTGTTTTCCTACTGCAACCTTCATAACAACAACTTATTTGATTTCTGTATCCAACATGGGAGTTCTCACACTTCCTGCGTTTTAAAACAAATATAAATTTGAAATCATGCAAGTACGTCAAAGTCCATATCTAAGAGAACAAATACAGAAGAATTGACAAACAATAAAATGTTCTTCCAAAGGGTGAAATATGGTCGGGTTTCCAAGATAGTCTTGTGTTTAAAGTGGGCATGCATCCATACCACTGATATTTGTTATAAGTGTTTCACGTAAAAGGTGTGGCAAATTTGCAGACAGATCAGTGTGGTTACCTAAGGCTATAAGTTAAATCTTTTAATGAATGTCAAAAAATTTGAATTTTTAAAAATGTTTTTTTTTTTATATATTTTCATGTTTTATTAACATACCTCTTTAATCTAATTGGAGCAGCAGTCTGTCTTACCCATAATGTCTTACTCCAAAATGACACAGCTTCTATAGCAGTTTCCTAGTAAAATACAACACACATTTAACATACAGGTAGTTTATGCACAATCCATTACCTGAGACTAATCTTAGACAAATGGAAACATCCAACTTTCAACTGGAATGATCCAAGATAACTCATTCAAGGTCACAAGTTTTTTTCAAATTGAAATTGCCAAGAAGACATCATCATTATATTCATGATCTCAAAATAACTTAGCTAGAATCCAATATAAATTTGTTTTAAAGAAACCACACCATACCTTTAATAGTTGAACATGATCAGGTGGTAATAGATCTAAACTGGTATCATAATGTAGATGTATACGTAGTGGATGATTTATACTTCGTTTTTTAACTATATGTACTGGTTCTATATCTACATCATATTGTATCTATAATGAATATAATGCTTTTATTTATTCAATCATTATACACTGTAGAATTATTAATTTTTGTAGCATCAGGTTTTGTGCGCATATCCTAAAATGCAAAATGGAATTTCTATATTTTCAATATATTTTTTCACAGTACATGATGCATGAATATTTCAACAAGCCCAAACATAAAGTATATTCCACAAAGTATGAACCCTTGATATCGGATGGAAGCTTACTATAGAAGCTTAAAATCAGTGAATAAAGAGCATTCATCTTGAAACAAAGGTGAATGTGTTCAAAATGAATTTGATCAAAAATCAAGATAATTCAGTTTCATGTTTTTTCTGCAGACTACACTACACTGATTATTAACAAACTACAGGAACCAGGAAATCTTTATCTGCTTTATAATCAGACGGAATATATAGTACATTTATAGAAAATGTTCAATGAATCAAATAGAAGTAAGAAAATGAAACAAACCTCATGATTTAAAGAACTCAAATGATTACATGTATGTATAGTTGGTAAACCAGATATCTTTAACATCAATAAACTAATACCAATAATATAATAATCAACCTCCAATAACTTTCCCATTGTTAACAATATATATACATCAAATATATAACAACGTCTTTTCTCTTGTTCCATACATCTTTCAGTTTACCTTTAAAACAATGAAGTACTTTATAAATTACAGATTGACAGCTTGCCAGGCAAGATCACATACACACACACACACACACACAGACAAAACCTGTCCTCATTCAAGTATAGCTCAGACTCAGGTGATGGATGTGTTTCAAATTCAACAATTTAATTGAGTGATTGTTTTTGTCTAAAACTCATAAAATCATAAATTGATGAAATGAAACACATTCTATTTAACCATTCTTAAACTGAATTTCTGTATTATCACTCTTTCAATTCGAAATGTGGCTAATTAAAAATCTAGATGCTTTTGAGGTACCAAAATCAAAAACTTTACATATGATCAATATTTAAGATCTAGCATAATACGATGGATTTGAATACTAGGCACAACAACACAAAACGTTACAAAGAATCATCAACAAAACATTTATTATTGATAGCCTACATATTTGCTGTTACATGTGCTGGCATTATTGTTTTCTATCCTTAACAAAAAACGAATAATGGCATAATGAAAGCTGGTTCTGTATCACAAAATTTTAAAAAAGTCGAAAAAAAAACCCATAAATTATTCATCATTGGTACTAATGAAATACAGTTTTTTTACTTGAACTATAAGTGATTTACTGGTAGTACAATAGATATAGTTCAATACACTTAACCTTCTTCTCTTATTACAAACATAAACTAATTACTATTACATGTTTTCTCTTAATTAATCATTAGACAAATAATTTCATTACTACAAGTAGTCCACTTAAAATAATTGTTTTAATTTAAAGGACCCAGGGTGAATTTAAGAACAAAAGTAAGTGAAAAAAATGAATTAATGTCACTATAGGCCATGGGTAATCCTACTGCACTTTGCAAGAGTTTCAGATACTGTAAGTCTAGGAAGGGACAACAAAAAAAGGTGTTTTATATAACATTTCCTGCCACCAGCCCTTCTTAATGGGCCATGGAGAATATCCACGCATATTATATCATCATGTGCACCAGTATGATAGTATGATAGATTGATAGTATGATAGTATGAATTCCAGTGATCCTGAAGATTCAAACCTGCTAATTTTCTCTGTTCCTATATGGGAAGCAATATCAACTGTCAATATTGATTCCCATTTAGAACAGTTAAAAAGACAGTGCTCTACTAATATTTGGCTTTGAAACAGTTTAAGAGGAAAACTGAGCTACCAATATATATGTGAAATATTTTAGCCCCTACTTTGATATGAAGTAATGATTGAATTAAGTTTTACATTAGCTAAGATGTAGCTTTATATCATAGCCTACTATATATATGTCCTCAGTTCAGATGCAGAAGGGTACTTCAGATCTCTGATTTTAATTTCAATTCTAATTTTTCCAGATCATGACAGTGTGTTCTTAATATTGTTACTTGCAATTCAACCTTTCATCCTGGTAAAATGCAAAGAAAAGAATACACTTCCGTACATAAATGAATTGAGCCAGTCCATCTTTCCTTCTAAAACTATATTATAGCCTAAATTTAGATAATGTTCTTGAAGCATAAACATATCATAAATTTCATAACTTATATAAAATACAGTAAAAGACAAGAATTTTCTACATTAGTAACGAGCAACGCCAGGCAGTGAGCAATGGGAATGTGGGAAATTAAGCCCAGACAACAGTAAAACTTTTTCAGTTTCTTGTCTAGTCAGACTAGTGATTTCTGCTGCACAGACTGTAGCAAAATAAAGTGAATAATAACAATAATGATTGGCTGGATCATTTAATATGAATAATAAAAATAAATAATGATTATACAATAACAATACAGTCAAGTAACCTAATTTCGTGCTAACCTATTTTTCGTGCATCTCAGAAAATGATTAATAATTCACTGTACAATGTCAGCTAGTAGAATGAATCCAGTAGTTTCAAGCAAGGTAAAGTGTATTAATGTATACTTGGACAAAATGGCGGTTTTCAATTATTACCAAACGTCACAATTTTTTATCAGCAGAAATTTCCATATAATCCCAAGCTGTAATCGGAATTCCAACTGTCGTCTGCTAGAATGTAGTCCAATGAACAAAGTATCGTGATAAACTAGCGGATTCCGTGACAGCAGAAAAAGTCTACGGAACACAATGTGGGCCGTATTCTTATGTTGTTTCGATGACTTTTAAATTTTAGCAATAAATCACAATTACGTTTTACTTAGGCTATCTTATTTTGTCAGTCCTTTTTTTTTCAAATCATTGTTCTTACAAGAAATTGTCAATAGTTATAATGAATTGATCATATTAAGATAAATACCAAGAAAAGTTAATTACACCACCCTGTATCCATACAACGTGTTTTTCTCGACTTAATTATAGATCAAACATTGTACACGAAAATAGGTGACGCATTTAGCAGACATTGTCGAGTTGGTAACTCATGAAATATAGGCCAAAGTGAGGGATTCATAAGGAATATCGAAACAAACCAATTTTAATTATTTTAAAGGAAATCAGAGTAAACTTTAACTTAAGACATGTAAAAAAAATCTGTTTCTTAAATATGACGAAATTCGATTTTGAATCCTTATATGCACGAAAATAGGTAACACAACTGAATAATTATGCAATGAAAAATTAATTTCAATCTTCATCATTCAATAAGTAAGGTCTTACCTAGATTTCCCCGAAACAAAACAACTCTGATCAAAAATTGTTAATCAAAATATTTTGACCTCAATTATTTACCAAGGTATTTTGTTTACACAAATTAAACGCCATAAACTTATTTCCGAGTATGAAATAAAAGGCCTATAATATGGTAAACAAAAATTAATAATATTTCAACTCTTCACGTTAAAGGTAAGGAAGGTACTCTTGCAAATTCTTTTACGCTCCCTCATAGAAACCTATATCGCTGTTTTTATATATAAAAAAAAATTCAAATAGCTTAGTTTTCAGTAGTCATTTTTCATTTTAGAATCTGATGATTTCGTTGTTAATTTCAGTCACTACCGATATTTTCCGGTTACTTAATAGTGCCTTTCCTAAAAAAAACAGCTTATTATCCCCCTTAGACCACAAACCAAAGAAATGTTGTTTTTAATAATGAAAACAGATAAACAGAGTCTCTTCCCAAGATCATCCTCTAATGTACGTCCCTTTTCTAAGTTGACAAATAGGCGTTTAATAAACGTTCTGAAAATTGTGGCTACCTTTTTTTTCATTTCAAGCTATTTCGGAATAGCGTAATCAAAACAAGCTTTGATTGATCGAAGGTTAAATTTTCATAATGATTTAATATAGCTTGGTGGGTTTCCCCTATTCTATATCGGGGTTACTCCTATTGTTTCTCCGTGAATATTATTTTCTCTCAGCGACTGAATGGAAGCGACTTATATTTAGGCCTAAACTCGAGAATTTATAAAGAGAAAGTACGTTGGCAAAAAGTATTATTTAATAAACTTTGTTTGGTCATCTTCCAATTTTTCTCAGCCACTAAGGCCTACTTATTTTCGGGCTGATCAAAAAGAAAAGAGAATAGGCTGTTGGCTCTTGGCGCCCCAACTAGCCTGCGCTAGTTTCTGTAAGATGTGTGCCAAAGTTCTTGACGCAGGACTCGATATATAAACGTCCATTGATAAACTGGACCTGCAATTGAGCTTCATCAGCTTAGTACATTTTATTCTTAAAAAATGAAAAAAAAAAAGCCCGATGTATAATTTCCCTTAAGGAATGATATCACAGAATTAGGCCAACCTTTATAATTATAAAATTCGATTACAATTAGGTTTTTTCCTGATACATGTATTTATTTTGATTAGGCTGCGTTACTAATTGCCAAATATGCTTAAATCACATAACTAATATAAGACCCTTCGCAATTAATGACGTCTGATTGAAACTTGGAAGGGTGTAAATCGATACTATCAGTGTCCCCGATAAAAATAGTTTTTTTTATATAAAATTTCTTTTCAATCCCTTTAATTGTAGCCTACTCTTACAAGCTTTATATACACGTTCCGTTCTAATGGCGGTATTTTTAACCAATCAAAAGTGTAGCATATTGGAAAAGTTTCCTGATAACAATAGCGACAATTGGAGACAAAGACCAATATGGCTGCCTGTTTGGGCTTTTTTAATCCCACAAAGTTAAATAAATAAATAAAATAACGCTTTAAAATAACTGCGACAATAAAACTAAGAATAGCATAGGCTACAACGGAGAAGAAAAAGAAAACAAAGAAATTATATTGAAGACTAATCTTATTTTAAATAGGTTGGGCCTATTGAAGCCTTCATTGATTATGTCGTATTATATGTTAAATTCCTATCAATTTTATTGTGTAATTTAAGACAATCCTAATCATAATAAGCCTTTATCTGAAAATAAAATCTTATGACATCAACTAACGTGAAATTAAAATACTTTTCAGTTTCAGTTGTTTTGTGGAAGAATTCAGTGAAATTAGTCAGCATTCAAAACTCAATTTAATTATAATGTTGTCCCTTTATCAATCATTTTCATAATCAGAGTTATTTTGATTATGTATTCTTTGTAGATATATAAAACAAAAACCATGACATACATTGTCTGACCCAAATGTCTGGGTATTTAGTTAGAAACAAACTTTAGCCTTATTATCGATAGGGTCAATTGACATGGCTCTGGGAGGTAGAATTATAAATGAATCAATTTAAAAGGTCGTGCATTATAATTTCACTATTTTCGAGGGTTGATTTGGGTCTTGAAGGGGGCTTATTTTTCAATAGTCTTCACAACTACAAGAGCTGTACAAAAATCGCACAATCCCTTGAAATATATTTCAAACTAGAAACTTTCTTTTTCTATGTCTTTTAGTATGGCGCAGTAGACCTATCAATAAAAACGAGTCGTCATTTTAACTTCCAAACGTTGATAGTTCCGCGGTGGGTTCCTTTTGCCGCATCGTGCCCAACTGCACAAAAAAACACTTGTTAAACGAAACGAAAGGTTTCTGATAAAATCCAGAATGGTCATTTGTTTCACATGGAACGGAATATTTTAATCTGTTTTATTTATAATTTGGACTTGTTAGGGAAATCGAAACTATAGTTTTATGGTAAAATCTGGAATAAAATAATTACCAAGTACAAGCGATCAGAACCGTAAAACAAAATAAATAAATCCATAAAACGAAACAAGACAAGTTCAATAAATATAATATCTGAAAGTAAAAATCTTCTGAAGAGTAAATCAGATTATCAAGCGAGGAGAAGTTTAGAATTCTCGTATTAGATGTGCATTATAATTTGACAGTGGCTCAACTCCCACTGGTTCCAGATAAGTCCCAGAATGTCCTGGTGGACAAGGTAGAAGCTGAGGTTGATTGGCTCCACACTACCGTCGGCAGTTGGAGACAAAAATAGACGAACCTGCGATTGTTTAGAAAAAATGACAGTTCAGACATAGGATGGATCCAAAGGAAAATAAGTACTGCGGAATCTAAAACCGTGAGCGGTGAGGGTTATATTTTGAAAACTCAGTATTGTCACCATAATAGCGAGAAGTATGCCTCGAAAGTCTTGAAACTATAGTTTCGATTTCCCTAACAGATCCAAATTACAAATAAAAAGAAAATCGACGCGGGACAACAGATTGAAATATTCCGTTTCATGTGAAACAAATGGTTTTTATCAGAAACCTTTAGTTTCGTTTTACAAGTCGTTTTTGTGCAGTTGGGCACGATGCGGCAAGTTGGGCAATGCGGCAAAACGAACCTACCGATAATTCTGTTCACATTGGATTTGAAGGCTCAAATTTCGACGACCAATGGAAACACGATTACTGACTAGCTTGGCAATTCAAGAACAAGGGCAATAACTCATATAAATTATTTCTCAATTTGTCTGATTTTCAATAGGGTTCATTCTTATTAGGTGATAACAAACACTGACACCAAATTTTAGGTAGGGCCCCAAGTCACACTTCTTCGGAAAATAACCGGAATTTGTACGCAGACAATAAATGGAAGTGCTAAATCTTGGAGTAATCCAAGGCTAAATATAGATGTGAAGATTATTGGAAAACCCCTTCTAAAAATAGAATCTTGTTTAGTCTTCTCAATCAACACTTCGTCATTACTCCAGTGGCCTGCATTTACTGTTTGGACATAGCTGGAAGTTGAAGGTGGTTGAGTATGCAGCGTATTTCAGTGAACAGTTTAGAACAGAACAAATTAAAAATATAACCAGATTTAACAGAAGAAGGCATAAAATGATGGATAAGAAATTCGGATCTTCTATGATCCCTGAATCAACAAGCCGTGTAGTTTTGGAGAAAAGGAAGAAGGAAAGAAAAATATTTCATATTGCTGGTCCAGTTGAAGACAGGGGAAACTTTGCTGAAAGGGCAGCTAGACTACAATTACGTCTTCAATCATATCGACATCCCAACTGGGATTCTGAAAAGAATATTTATGACTTAGCGTATGCAGGATTCAGGTAAAACTTATGTAAATTTTAGGTCCATTACATTTCTATTCCCCACATGAAATGGGCCATAGTTTATGCCTGTCTGTGCCTGAAGAAGGCCGAAGGGGGCTTTTGTGCTCTTGAAACATGTATGACTATGTTGGGATGAACTAAAAATGGACCAGTAAAAAACTGTGAAATGGTTTGCGACTACATGTGTTGTCTATTTTATTGAACATGTGAAATGGATGGCGTATATTGGAGTCACCCATATCAGTCTGTTGGTTAATCCACAAGTGCTCGTAAACACTCTACAATTCGTTACCTGAGAACTAGACTGTTCTGTGTCCACTTTTGTGAAAATTTGAGTTTGCATATCAAATGTAGATAAGAGCCCTCTACTATCATTTTAAATGAGTTTTTTCAACTTTACAAATCCCACTTTTCTATTTTTTGTTAGGAACATAGTGTTCTATGTGTCTTTTTATCCAATTGGATTTCAAATTGAGATCACGTGACTGGAGATAAAACATAATGGTTTTGATCCTTTTTCAAATTCTCGAGAATTCTTCAACCAAGAATGAACCCTATTGAATATCCAAAATTTAAGAAATACTTTATATTGAGTTATTACATTCAATTTTTAGCTCGTATACACTTTAGAAGGCCCAAATCTTAACAGATGTTGACAAAACTTTGTAAATATTGTTCATTATCACCCCAAAAACTTCAATAGAAGTGTATGACTTTGTTGGTTGAATATTTCATACGGTGATTTTTACAGAAATGCTGAATATTTTTTATCAAAATCAAAGCAGCCAGTGGGTGTCTTTTACCTTGGCTGGCAATCTATCATGTTATCATTCTCTTTAATCAGCAGCATAATGCTTTTTATCATCTTCACAATGGTCAAGGTATTACAAAATTTGACTTTTACCTTGAGCACGCTAGCCAATGTTCTTGTATCGTAGAATGCAGCGATATTTGGTGGATTGTAGGCATATGCCAGCAAATACATCCAATCAGAGCCTTCAACAGAAAAACTGTAGCTTAAACATAATGGCTAATATTTACAGATTGGCTGTATTCACAAGCGTACAATCTGCATAAATGCATAAATTACAAACCACCATGATACATAAAAAGTAGCTATTGTAGTCAAGGTTTAGATACAGAGAGGAAAGGCAATAGGCAACTCTGTCCTTAGTCAATGACCATAAATATTTTGTATTTTAAGGAAAAGTTTTGTATCTGTATAAATGTAGGAATTGAGTCCTATCTGGGGCCCCATCATCACCTATAGATACAGCTAACCTTAGTTGTAAATGAAAAATTAAACAAGATTACTGGTATTATTTTTCAGGTATACAGGGGAGGGAGATCGAGTTGAATGTGATTTTTGTTTAAAACGAGTTTTTAAATGGTCAAAAGAAGACAATCCTCTAGAAACTCATTTACGAATAGCACCAGAATGTCCCTTTATAGTAGAACTTGGCTATACCTTAGATCACCAAATTCCCAAATATAGACGATATAGTCATTATAAAAAACGATTTGAATCAATGTCTGTTGTCCCAGAGCAGTACCGAAACGAATTACCATCTTTTGAATCTTTGGCACGGTCAGGGTTCTTCTATCAAGGAACATTAGACAGAATGAGTTGCTTCCATTGTGGCTTAGTTTTAAGAGATTGGGAAAAAGACACGATTCCTAATGAAGTTCACGAACAGTTTCAGAAAAATTGTCTTTTCTTAACAAATTTATTAGAATTTACTAGACATGGACAACTTGTAGAAATTGTGGTAAAAGATAGTAGTAATAATAGAAGATTTATGAAGCAGATACAGACAAGTAAGAACAATACAAGCTCCAATAATACAGGGCAATTGCAATTAAAAAACATTGGTGAATCAACTAGTCAACACACATCTACAGAAGTAACAGACAGTAGATCATCTTCATCTTTTTATTCTAAAGCACAGAAGTTAGGGAGTGAAAATCAACCAACAATTCCCAGACAACCTACAGAAATCAGACATCTACGACGTATTGGCAAATATGCTCATCTAACCAAACAAGAGTTTGAACGAATAGAAGCAGATATGGTTGATGGCAGACGACGCAGTGAAAGACCACCACAACTCTCACCAAACTTTCAATCTGCTGTCATTTCTAAAGCAGAATGTGTGACGTCAAGTACAGCGTCCAATCCAGTCATTACGCCAATAGAGGAAGCGGTTCATGAAATGGGTTATAGTTTGGAACTGATATATCAAGCTATTAATGAAAGAAGAGATAGAGGGGAGGGAGACTTTCCTGATGCTACAGCATTATGTTTAGCAGTTATGGATTTGGCAGAGAAAAGGAGAATCTAAGGCCACTGTTTTTTAATTGTGTGCTTTTTTGAATGTGTTCAAATTTGACCAATAACACTGTAAAGGATTAAAATGCTCCTGTTGCATCAATTCTAGGTATGTAAAAATTCCTGCAGTTGCTTCTTTTATTTGGAGTTGATCAGGCTTTTGAATCTGCATACAAGGAGCACATAATATCAAACAGTGGCCTTTTTTCAGCCTTTACCAAGTGTAATATTATGTAAATGAGCTTATATTTTATACATTTAGTTAATATTTGTGAAAATGTCTGCATCTATCTGTATAATAGTCTAAAAATATGTATCATTAATATCTGTTCTTTATGTTGTATTTTGTAATATTTACTGTTATATTTATGTTAGAATCTAGATATATAAAGAAATTGATAAAATTGTAATTGTAAGCAATATTTCAATCCATCACTCAGGACCTTGTTTTATCAAATACATCTAATAATGTCAGATATATTTTTATGTGTAGTGCCAACAGTTGTTCTAAAGGCCTGGTCCCCAACAAGGGCATAACTAAGAGCACCTCCAAGGCTACATCAGAAGCTCTGGAAACAATTTTACCTTTGACTCTAAAGCTTTACTTAATTCAAGTAGTGTATCAGGATACAAAGGAATGAGTACAAAAGTTTGGGAACCAGTGTTCTTTAATTACAATAATTACATATGTAGGACTAAATTATTACCAATATTGTGTTCTAATATTAACTGTGATAATTTGTTGTGAAGTGGTGTGTAAGTGTGAAACTCTTGAGTAACAACATGTTTCAGTTTCTGTTTTAATATTTCTTTATGAGTACATGTACTATTATTGTTTTATGTTTTTTTCACATAAAAAGTTTTGCAAGAAAATAAAAATGTGTATTCTGCAATTAAAGAAATTAATATTAGTGTAATTAATGAATTTTAAAATCCATCTGTAATAATTAATGATATCAAAAGCTTGCGATGTCAATTCCTAAATGCAGTCTTACATGAGGTCAGATTTTCATTCGAATAAGTTAAATTCACAGGAAAGAAAATTTTTAAGAGGGCAATTTATAGATGAGGAAGTTGTTTTAAAGATGGGTTCCCTTATTTTCATTTATGAAATTGAAAATGCTAAAACTTTCATGAATAGAAAGTACAGGTGTTCTAATGACTTAGAAAAATACCAAAAAAAAACCGAGGAAAACCATCTTAAACAGGAAGAGTGTAAAGTCTACACTATTAACTTAGTTACTTTTTATAGCCCGCTGTATCTCCCGTTTCAGTATTTAAATTAGTACAATTTATGCCCTTTTTGATTGTTTTTTGATAATCTTCAAGTTTTGTTGTTAAGATTTTACTTATGTCACGTCTTTCAGTACTTTTCTCATCATAAATGAAACTCTTTAAACACAGTGATCTCATATTATACAGTCTACATGTGATGATTTTGAACAGGAAGTTTACATTTGGTTATAACATTATAACATTTTCATGACGTGTATGAGAAATGCAGATCAGAATTACTTTCAATTTTTGTATGTAATCTAAATCCAAATAAATTTCAAATAATGACCAATCAGAAAGAAAGGTCCTTCTTCTCAATTTCCTTATGTATTTGAAATTTTGAATATAGTTGACCAATCAGGAGATAGTTTTTCTCGAATTCCCCATTTCTTTCTTTCTTTTTTCCTTTTTCAGATATTTGTTTTTTTTGGTTGGCTGATATTTCAATTTTTTTGTTTGCAATATTTGCAAAATTAACTTGAGCTATATTTTTGGGAATTTTAGTATTTATTTGTTATGAGAGATACTCAACTCTAGAAGCACAGGCCTAGGCCTCGAGTAGAGACTATGGATTTAGAATAAATCAATTCATAAAAAAAAGTGTTATATATATTTGCCCTTCATATTTTGTAAATATGTTTATGTTGTAAATATGTTAAAAGAGGTTTTCTAAACTTTGTTTGTGTATCAGGGACACTGATAGAATCAATTTGCACCATTCCAATTTTCAATCAGATATCTGTGGTTTCTAAATTTCCACTAAAACCAAGTGCATACACATAAACAATTTAGAAAATCTCTTTACAATCGCTATAAAATGTTGAATAAATGTAAATACTTTCTTGTTTATATCAATTAAATATGTATAATAGTTATTAATGTTAGCTAATGTTAATATACATGTACATCATATTTATGTGCACTTTATATATACATAACTTACTGTTTATATTTGGCTTTCTTTTGGTTTATAGTGTATGTATATATGTTATTTTGGCTTGTAGTGCACAGGTGTGATTATTTGAATTTGCTCTTTATTTTTTATTAACAGTATATATGTAATTAGAATTTTACGGTATTTGTTCACAAATAAAAGAGACTTTCTTTGTGGTATATTCTTGGCTTAACATACTTTTTGTGTTGTTCTGACAGCACAATTTGTGCTTTGGATGAAATGCATGTAACTGGTCTAGCTGTGAATAGCATGATCTCCCAGATCTTCATTATATAATGAGGATAACAAAATCATGCATAAATAGTGAAGGTCTAAAAGGTTGAAACTGAATCAAGGAAAGATAGTCACACTTTACAGCAATCAGTGTATTTAATATTGCTATCAGATGCTGAAGGTTTATACTAGGACTTGGACAGACTGAGCTGTGTCAGCTATTTAAGTTAATAGTTAGAAGACTATCCATCCCTGTTTATAGCCATTTTCAATATCAAGACCTTTATCCATCCTTCAAGTGAGATGCACAAGTGTTCAATTTTGTTGTTACCAATAATCAGAAATCCCAGTAAGGAATAAAAAGAGAGAAAATGGAAAATATCAGTTGAAGGTCAAGGGGGCCACAAGCTCAGGGAAGTCATTTCCTATGTATTCAATTTTCAATGGTTTTATTCGCAATAAAAAAATACCATTGGCCAGAAAAATAGAGGTATTCCTCTATATAGAGAAAGTCTAGGATCCCTGAATAATCTATCGCTGTTCTTCATAGAATAATATACTACTGTAGTAGAGAGTATCATGAATGTCACAATACTGTCAAATGACAGGTGAAGTAAATACTGCCTTCACAGCTATATGTTTCTAATATCTACATGTATTATTATTCTATACATAAAATCATATTTAAGTGCAATAAAATTGGAATAATCACATACAGAGTTGACAAACATAGTTGGTTGATGTCATTTGGTTTGTGGAAGTTGGAGCACATTTTGTTTCACATGTATCATCCACCACAATAATAATCTATGTAGGAATATAAAAGAGCCATAAGTACATCTTCACAATGCCAAAATATTATGAACTCTGTCTTATACCTTGACTTCATTATTTGTCTCTTTTGTGTATCATGGAAGTTCTGTCTATGCAGCGATTTAATTGTAATGTAAGCTTCCAATTACAGCCAATGAAAGCCATCAATAGGGCAATCCACGATTAAAGAAACGTGGCTGTTGCAGCCAAGGTACTAGATACAGTTTGTAATAACTTGACCTTGCGAGGGTGGCATATGTGAAAAAGCACAACAACTTATTTGGATATACTATTTCAATCTTTTTTAACTCAACGTTTAACATGTTCATACATGTTTTAATTGTCTTGATAACTCTTCCTGTGTGAACATGTGAAATATTGAGTTAATAAATTTAAATATCCATATATTTTGTCCTTCTTTACATGACTGTACTTACTACAAAGTTTGAAATCTTCAGAATGGATGAGTTATCAAATAATGAAAAATATTGAGAAAACCAGGTTTTGTATTCACAAATACACTCATATATTTACAAAAAAAAAAAATGTACATAACAAAAAATGCTATCAAATGACTCTAAAACAGTGCTAATAAACTGAATTATACCTTTAAATGATAATTATCTGTCCCTTTCCAATTTATTTCAAAATTTTTATTAAAGAATTATTGAAATAAAGAATACATAATATTGGTAGTGATGACATACAGAGTTAATTCCCTTGATAGAAAGTTCGTCATATTCCTGTTCAATTATTCATAGTTTAATTACATATTAGAGAAAGTAAATTCTATCTGATGCTTTAGTTAAAAATTTTCTTTCAATCAAAAATAATTTCCACAGCTATAAAAACATTCAGCAAAACTTCGTATTTTTAAGGACTAGAACTAGAGTCTTGTTAAGAGTTTCACCGACCGGTTGCTGGCACACGAGAAGACAAAAATTCTCCAGTTGGTCCTTCTCCAGTACGTCGATAATCACATGCAATTGAAAGGAAAATGAATCTGATTGGATGATGACAGTCTGTCTTGCAGACAATAAAACAATAAGATTTTACTCAAGAATCGTGTCGGCCACAAAGAGTGTTCAGGTGCATAAGATTCTAACTTTGTCTTTTTACTACCAAATACAAAATTAACTGCCATTCTGTTAAAGCTGTGAATCTTAAATTTTGCCTTTCAGCAAAATACAATTGTGCTAAATATGTTGTTTTTTTCTTGAAAACCACATAAATTAAACATATATTAATTATGGATGAATTAAATTACAAGACAGTAGATGAATAAAAATCAATAAGCAGTATGAAAATATGATAAATTATAATATTAATAATATTTACATAACAATAAGTTGGTTCATGGTAATAAAATAACATATAAAGGTCATCATTTAGCACTTTGAGGAATCTGTGGTAAACCAAATTCATCCACTGGTACATCTCCCTATAATGTAACAAATTACAACAAATCAAATATAAAGACATTCACTTATGCTGCTGCACTTATGTCGAGTTACTAGGACTAGAGAAGGAGGCTATAAAGACGTTTAGTTGGCGATTTTACTGCAGTGACACCAAGTAACGTTTGCTTGTTTGCGTTTAGGTAGAGGTGCCATGGGTTAAGAAGATGCTTTGACAGTGCTTTAGCAAATCAGCCTGATGTTGTCTTTAAACCCCAATCACTGGCCAATGTAATAGTAAATCTTATGAATGAAACTTACCCTCATACTATCACCAGGATCACCAACAGGTGCTGAAGGTGCTGCTACAGCATCATCTAAGTAGGTGGTATCTTCATCAAAACCTATTTCATCACCTAAAGCATCTAACTCAGCTTCTAATTCATCATCATCTACTTCTGGCATACCATAACTTCTACCCATAACATCTTGTACCTCATCTGCCATCTCCATTAAGTCTTCTAATTCATCTTGCATATTCTGTTGCATAAAGTTGAATGATAAGTATAAAGAAAAGACGACCTTAGACAGGTTATCAGTGTCCATATATTTATGAATCAGTTACATTTTTGGTATATAACATTGCTTGAAGATATTCACTGAATAGATCTCATTTGATACAAAAAGATATTTAGAGTGTTTGCTTCAGTATAATTTAGTTTGGTTCCAAATTTAATCAAAAGTAAAGCAATTTGTAAAGTGTTATGAGTGTATTTATTACCAGTGTTAGCTATCATCTCCAAGAAATAAAATGAAATGTAGCTTTACATATGGGTTAATGAAAACAAGCAACATCATGAAATTGTTACTGTCAAGGAATCTTTAATGTGTAGTAAAGCCTGGAGAACACAAGGCCTCATCCTATCTGAATGACTAGGTAATTTTCTCTATTTATACCAGGGTCTGGATCTGAAGCTTAAGGTTAGTGAGCAATCATTTAACTCATTGAATCACAGCAGCTCTGCATTATATCCCATAGGGATGCTGAGTTGACAAACCAATAATGTGTTAGCACAGTAACTCATGCATTATTAAAAAACACTACACCAAATGATTAGTAAACAATGATAATACCAGTTCAAACAAACTTACCTCAATTTGATCAATATTAACATGTTTGTAAGCCTTTTTAAAATCTTTTACTCCAACTTTCATAGCATCAACCTGGCAGAAAAAAAATGAAAAAGATTAGAAAACTGCAGACTTTGGAAAATTACTATATTCATCTTTAATAGAAGTCTATGTATATACTTAGAGGTGTTTTAAAAGTTTTAATTAGAGAATAAGTTATTCGTATGATTTGAAATATTATGACCATCGGAACTTTCTTGTATCGTGTGTAGTTGAATGTAATCTCCTATAGAAGCACTGTCTAGTTTATAATTCCAGAGACACATTGGAGATATGGTGAAATGTTGACTGCCCACTCAAAAAAGTTTCTTATGGATTTGCCCTCAGATAGGATTGTTATTTGACATATTTGTCACTATGTCAAATTTCCAACACAGTGCCTAAATAAAACCATGTATCTATTAAGAGTAAACCATTTTATACTTACAGTTGTTTTTGTATCTTTTAAAGAAGAAATTGCAAAATTCTGTTGTTCTAAATTAAATGATTGATTTGATAGCTGATCTCTCTGACTTTCATACCTGAAACAGAAATTTACCAATCATATGAATCCAATATTCTAGCAATGAATCCAATGATATTTTAGCATATAAGTTATATATGTTACTCAATGGATGAGTCAGAACGCAAATATGTCCACTTTATTCCCAGATAATTCTAGATCACATGACTTGAATATGGCTGGTTCAAATAATGTATTACTTTGCACCAATTATGAAAGCTATATTCAAAATTTATGGGGAACAATTCAAGATTGTTGACATTGATATCATATGGTTATTTAGATTTCTTTTCAAATTGATGTATTCTAATGCTGAAATCCATAGTTTCTCTCTAGTGGCCAGTGCTTTTATAAGGAATTATCTCTTATAACACCTAATGCCTAAATTCTCAATTGCAAAGTTTTTGGCTTACATTTTTTTCTGCTTTAAAACTCTCATAGCTTTCTGTTTGACTGTATTCTGAAAATATAATAGAATGGATCAAATACTCAGTAGGTTAAATGATATTTATAATTTAACAGTGTTGGAATATCGTCTTAATTTTCATCATTTATCAAGGCTACGAAATAACAAAAACTGATATGGAAATGGAATATATTGTTGCTCATATTTGGCCCATAGACCTAGCCTATTTGAAGACTGATTTTAATCTAATTGTTTGATTCATTACAGGATACAAGGTAAAAAAAAAGTACATATTTTAGCACATAATTATATTTTAAATGTTACCTTAGCTGGTCCTTCCCTCATTTTCTTCATTTGATCTTTATATTTCTTTAATTCAGCATCTAATCTGGCTACTTTCTTATCAATGGATTCCCCCCTACTGTCAATCTGTAAAAAATATATATACTTTTAGGATCTGTATCTCTTTAACCTCTGTACTACATTTATTGCATTTATGGTCAAAATGTGAACTTACACTAGTTACAGTGCATTGAATGAAATCATTCAAAGTTTCACTTCATGCATAGAACAACATATCCATACTTAAGTCCATTTTTATCAACACCTGGTTATGTTTACTTATGAGAAACTTTAGATCGATCTGAGAGTAAATATACAAAATTGATATATTGTATCAACGCCATTATACTAGCCATCAGCGATTTAATTGACTGTCAGTTCATATGCCATATGATATGGGCAGACTTGTGACAAGTTTAATATGATGGGAACATAATATGCTGGACGATTTTACTTAGATTTTACTTAGGTCTAATTAATTGAACTATACTATTTGAGATAGAAGTAGCCTGCTAATTAAGAGCTAGGCCTATATGTATTTATGCTGTTACTTTAACTTGGACAGTTTAGCTTAACTTTCTGTGGTCTGAGTCTTTAGATTGGCTTTCCCAATTGAAACCACATTCTTGTCGAAATTTATAATTATCTGTTACTTACATTTGAAATACAGTCATTAAGATTTGGTGGAGGTTCTTTTGGCTTGCCTCGTCCAAATAAGCGATTCATTTTTGTTAGCTTGACGCGCTGAATTCCACACTAAAATCAATTTCGTCGCTTTCGATTGAGAAAGAATCAAAACAGTAATGGCTGACCTACGTCACTTCCGAGGGACTTGTCCTTATTGGTGTTTACGTTGTCATTGAAATTATCTTATTGCTGCATCATTGTTTACATCTGCATCTACAATGTAAAGATATTTCTCAGAATAACGTAAAATACTCCTGTTGAAAACCAAAAATACAATTCACTTCAATAAAAATATTGGCAATATGAAAGAGTCTGGAAATAATTAAACATTATAATAGCCACTCCCTCATATTTACTGAAATTAGTCATTTGACAATGAATGACAGGTGGCTCTGACTTATTTTTCTATTTATTACGGTATTTATTGTGTATTGGTGTAGTAATAGCATGTACAATAGTAGATAAGCATCCTTACCATTCATATAATATGATTAACAGTATATTTGTGGGGTATTTTGCAATAAAAATGATGACCCAAACCAAGCTCTGTGATGAGTCCATTGTGGAAATTTTGTTGAGGAGTCTGCTTAGCAGCCAAATAAATTCCATGCTTTTTTAAACCCCACTAAACAGCTTTAAAAAGATACTATGAACAATGTAATCAGTTATTCTTTTTCGGGTCAATTTTGGTCTCTGAAATGATTTTATAGCTCTTAATTTCTAAATTGGACTTTAAGTTTCCATGTGAAAGTGATATAGTTATAACCATAGGCCTTGTTTTAAATTTTGATGTTACAAAATTAAATCTGATTAGATGAATTTAAGCTGTAGTTTTGGTTGCATGCTTACATTTTTTCTTGTCTGCAGGAAATAAAAACAAAATGCTGTATATTTACAAGGATAAGCTTACAGTCTAAATGTTGTAAATGAAAACAAAATTAAAAAAATTGGATATAATACGACTATATCCTTCATAAGCATAGGCCTACAATTTTGCAAGCTATTCGCATGGTAAGGCCAGATTTTTTGAGTCAATGGTTTAAAAACTAAATGATTGTTTTTTGTTTATTAAAAAAAAAATAGTCCCGGGAAATAGAACTAATATAAGCTTATTACAGTAACTGTTTGATTTTTAGTGGTGTTTTGAAATAAAACATTTCTTGAGGTTTCTGTTGCGTAATAATTTTACATACCGGTACTGTATGATATTAAGGCAAGAAATTTGATTTTGTATCAAGACTTTTAAATAGTATATTTTCTTGTTTCAGGCAATGATGTAACTTAGAAAAGAAATGATTGTTACCACTAAGTATAGGAAATGAATTCTGATACCAGTAACAGTCAGTCTTATATGACATCAACTGGTATGATGGGAGACTCCAATTCTCCTCAACTACCTGGTGGAGCTTATGGACCCCCGACAGGAATTCCAAGCTATGTTCATGAAAATTACGAGAATTCAAGATCTCCAGCTGCTCAGATCAATGAGAATTATACTTATGATTATAATGGTGTGTCTCAGGTCAAATCTGAAAGTTATAGACCTCATATTAACAATGATACTTATAATTATAGTGAACAACCCCCTCAAAGTGTTCATCCTTATGAAGGTAGTGAAAGTCAACCTGTTCCATCCCAGAACTATGTCTCTCAAACCCCTCAAGAAGCTCCCATAAAGACAGAACCTTATAGTGAAAATCAGGTTAAGAGTGAAGTGTTTGCTTCAAATGATTTTCCTGTGAAAAAGGAGCCTTATTGGCCAAATAATTCAGGACAGGCACCTCATAACGATGTTTATAACTATGGATCTCCTCAACCATATAGGGCCAATGTTTCGCAAGAATACCCTTTAACAATGCCTCAAGATTACTTAAGATCTGCTGCTACAGGGAACAATATGGTTGGTGCCACAAACGAATCTTCATACGAGAATTTGACTAATGTCAAGAGTGAAATGGATCTTCCATCTAACCAAATACAGACCACAATGTCTCTACCAAGTCATATGTATCCACAAGCATCATCATCTCCACATAACAAGCTTTACGAGCAAAGCATGGCTTTACCTAACCCTGGATATCGGTCGCCAGTATCTCCATCAAATCCAATGTATAATCCACAATCTATGTCTTCTCAAAATCACATGTACAACCAGGCGTTAATGTCTTCACATCACTCGAGTCCATATCAGTCATCCATGTCTTCACCTTACCCTCCACCATCCACATCATCTCACCTATATCAACCACATGCTGGTCCAATGTATGATCTCCCCAACATGTCTTCTAATGGCCATATGTATCAAAATACATTACCAGCACCCAATAATAACTATTCACCATATCAACAATATCAGATGTCATCTTATAGTAATTCCAATCCTTACCATCATCAACAACCTAGTTCCTCATCCTACTCTCCTTATGTACCTCAAAATCCTTGGAATAACTTTAACACCAGTTTCCCACCAGGAGCTGATAGTTATCCAGATTCAATTGGAAATTGTTCTCCGAAGAAAAAATCCAAACTAAACCACTCTAAAGGAAAACCAGTTCAAATAGTCTCTCAACAGCATTTTCATTCCAAAAGAGGAATTTATTTATTTCAAATGCGTGAAATGAATCCAGCATCACCCATGTTTAGTATCTCAGATCATTTGTTAATGATAGAAAAACAATTATGTGAGAATTTGATAAGAATTGATCTACCAGACAATGTATGTTATGTGTATAATCCATTAGAATACGCCTTCACACCCCACCGGATTTACACTGAAAAATATTGTAATACTCAAAAACAGATCTTATTTCTTGGTATGAATCCAGGACCATTTGGAATGTCTCAAAATGGGGTAAGTACATCCATATTATTTACTTTTTTGTTCTGAGTTTAGAACTGACCAAGTGAAAAATGTGTGTTCAGTAACAGCTTTAAATTGGGGTATTCACTTAAATTGTATTCCAACAATTGCATTAAAAATAAAATCTGATAATCATGAAAATACAAAGTAAGAACTACTGGTATGAAATATTTGCAGTTGCCACAAAAACCAAGAGATTTTATGTAATTATCTTAAAAAACTAAATTAAATTAAAACTAATTAAATGTTACGATGATGTACATTTTAGGTTCCGTTTGGTGAATATAATATAGTACGAGATTGGTTAAAAGTAACAGGAGAAGTTTCGAAACCATTAAAAGAACATCCTAAACGTTTAATAGTAGGGTTAGACTGTAAGAGATCAGAGGTAATTAGTTATTTTATGATACAGAGGTTAAAATACGAATTTTGAGTACTATGACACTCTCCATGGGATTACACAGAGTAAACAGTAATTGAACGTGAAATATATTCTGCTTATTGTATGTTATTGTATACATTGTCATCAGCTTTCTGTGCAATCTGTAAAAACAATTCTGTATCATTTCAAAAACAATACTAACTCAACCTGTGTAAAATGGAACCCTAGACCGCCAAATTGACAAGCAAGCATGCACCCACTTGCTGAGCTAAGCAACTTGATAAATGTCCTGTCATGAATGGTTCTGCTTCCATCGCCATCTGGTTTGTAAAATAGAAAATCTCGTTATTCATATTTCAGGTAACAGGAAGTAGATTTTGGGGATATTTTAGAAGATTATGTGGAACACCTGAGAATTTTTTCAGACATTGTTTTGTATATAATATTTGTCCCATGGCTTTTATGTCGGACACTGGTAAGAACATCACACCACCCCAAATACCAACTCATGTTCTCAAGGCAATCAACAACGTGTGCAATAATAGTTTAATAGAAGTTATACAACTTTTAAATGTCAAAACTGTTATTGGTGTTGGGAACTACGCATACAACTCAGCACAAAAACTCTTGTCTTCAGCTAATATGGAGCACATTAAAGTTCATGTTATCATGCATCCTAGTCCGATTAACCCTGCAGCCAATAAAGGTTGGGATAACATAGCCAGAGATCAACTGAAAAACATTGGAATATTGGAATTACTTCAAGGTAATAATACGGCAGAGAATAACCATGAGTTAAGTTAATATTTGATCCCATACTTAATCTTATATCCCAATGATTTCATTATGTTTTCCCATTGATTTCATTATGTTTTCCCATTGATTTCATTATGTTTTCCCATTGATTAAGTTAGTCTTGAATAAATTGCACTCTGTCAGTATGATACCAAGTTTACATTCTATCAATGTACATATTACAGTGTCACAGATGGCTTTATAATATGTATTGATCAAAGCAAGTATAAAGTTAATTTTTGATTAGTTTTACAAATTCAATTACTCTGTTTTAAATTGTTTGTTATGGCAAAACATTTGCAAATTTGAAAGAACTCTGCAAGTAGTCTTGAATTGATATAATACTCAGTCGTAGAGTGGTGGGTTCAATAAGGATGAGCATGACCTATCATAAGAGAAACTTTTTTACTTCAATATTCCTGAAAGAATGTGTTTGTCATCATTTGCAGGATTACTGACCTAAAATATTCCACTTATTGCCAAAGAAATTTGCATTTGGAAAATTGAAAATATTATCTTAATAAAGCTTAATAATCAGATAGATCTCAGTTTAACATAATGCTGTGTAATTTATTCAAGGCTACAAGTTATATATGACAACTTATTTAAGAAAATAGGAGTGCTATGGTATTTTGTTTTTTTTTTTTTGTATATTTTTATATATTTACCATGGGAAATGGAAAGCTTATTTTAAAGCTTGATATTATTTACATTTATAAAGCTTATTTATGTTTTTAAGGGGGGCAGTAAATTCTAATGGGCAGCACTTTTTTTGACAACTTCCAGCATGTCTAGCAATTCATTACATACAATATTTAAGAATACAAATCTGTTCATGTAGTAATAATTATACAAAGAGTTTGGTAATGGTTAAGAATAATAATAATGGAACATTCATTTTCACTAAAATTCAACATTGCTGCTATATTTTAATGTGTATATTTTTCATAGAGTTCTTCCACTGGTCTGAAATATGTATTGTTATGTGTTCTGTTAGA